GTTGGATTGAACTCAACTTTTAGCGACGTCGCTCTCACGCAAATATGAGAGTTTGAACATGGAACTGGAAGATGCATTTCTTGAGAGAACCACGTGGGAATTAAGCACTCTACTCGTTGCAGAGTATCAGTCGTCATTCATAAGCATTTTGCGAACCTTTGACCGTTCGATACGTATCGTTTTTCAACGTTGTAAAGTCCAGGGCGCTCTGTCATCATTTAAGATTCTATCCGATTGTTATTACAATCACAGTATCAAATACGTTCGTGTTGCAGGAGTTGCTAAATACGCCAATTATTTCTATATAATTTTTATACGTAGTTGATGTAAGAGCTTTGATTGTACAAACATTCAACGTGTAAATTTCTTGTTTCAGTACATACATTCTCTAGACGACATGATGAACAAGCTGCAAGCTCTGCCAAGGTGATATTTTCATTTATGCGACGTAACATGTATTATCTGTGCTATAGAGAGCGTCCCAGATTTCGCGCGGCAACAATTGACAGTGAAGTTTTCATTTTATGATAAAAAATCTACAAACCAACCCGTTAAGATTAATAGTTTTTAAGTGAGAAACGTTTAAAGTCGATTAAATTATTGATTCAAATTTGTTCATTCCGGCATGACAAAAGTATCAGTCGTCATTCATAAACACTTTGCGAACCTTTGACCGTTGAATAGGTATCACTTTTCAACATTGCGAAGTCCAGGACGCTCTGTACGTCATTTAAGATTATATATCAAATTGTTATCACAGTATCAAGGTGATATTTTCAGTTATGCGACATAACACATATTATTTGTGCTATAGAGAGCGTCCCAGATTTTACGTGGCAACAATTGACAGTGAAGTTTTCATTTTATGATAAAAAAATCTATAAACCAACCCGTCAAGATTAATAGTTTTTAAGTGAAAAACGTTTAAAGTCGATTAAATTATTGATTCAAATTTGTTCATTACGGCATGACAAAAGTATCAGTCGTCATTCATAAACACTTTGCAAACCTTTGACCGTTGAATATGTATCGCTTTTCAACATTGTGAAGTCCAGGACGCTCTGTACACGCACCGGCATAAATGCTGTCCCTATCCTTGTGAGGTGCACGCACACAACTACAGGGACTCTAGTTGTGTGCGTGCACCTCACAAGGATAGGGACAGCATTTATGCCGGTGCGTGTACATCATTTAAGATTATGTCAAATTGTTATCACAGTATAAAGGTGATATTTTCAGTTATGCGACGTAACATGTATTATTTATGTTGTAGAGAGCGTCCCAGATTTTACGTGGCAACAATTGACAGTGAAGTTTTCATTTTATGATAAAAAATCTATAAACTAACCCGTCAAGATTAATAGTTTTTAAGTGAAAAACGTTTAAAGTCGATTAAATGATTTATTCAAATTTGTTCATTACGGCACGACAAAAGTATCAGTCGTCATTCTTAAACACTTTGCGAACCTCTGACCGTTCGTATTGTTTTTCAACATTGCTAAGTCCAGGACGCTCTGTACATGATTTAAGATTATGTCCAATTGCTCTTACGATCACAGTATCAAAAACACTCGTGTTAAAATGTTGGATTTTCCATTACAGCAAACCACCCAAGGATACTATAACAGGCTACGCTAAACGGATAGAGTTTCTAAAGGGAGTAATAAATGCGATGAAGCTGTCGAACCCGGTGGAGAGGGTGGTCGCCGCGCAATTGTTGTCGAAGAACTCGGTGTCTACCAATAATTCCAGTACAAACATCACGACGCAGATACACCAGAAGACGGTCGCCAAGTACAATCGGGAATTACGGGCGGAATTGTTCCACAGCAACAAAGGTGACTTCAACGACGTCCCTCGATAGAACGACCGACCGGTCTTTACACGCAATATTAAATCTCATTATGTGTCACAGACGCGAGTAAGGACGGTGTGCGACAGAGATTGTCGAGCTCCAATATCCAGGACGACGATCTGGACGCTATCCTGAAGTACAATCGTAACATCCAGGAGAAGATCGCCGACAATATGCTCTCCATGACCAGCACCATGAAGGAGCACGCACTGGCGGCGAGCGCTATCATAAAGAAGGACGTCGGCATGCTGGAAATGTCCAACAAGCTGACCGACGTGAATGCTGTTAAACTGAAGAAGGAGTCCCTCAAGTTGCAAGAGCACACCAACTCAAAGTCGGAGTGCTGGGTTTGGATTATGGTAGTCTTCGTTCTGTTTGTATTTTTCAGTGAGTATCTCGCGCGTCAATTACACAAACGCTCTCCGGAGCGGTGCGGCGGCGATTTCTTTATTTATCGTTTAACACGAATTTTTAACTTTCGCGCGATGTCACGCAGCTGTAAAAATGTCGGCAGCTAAGGCATTAATGTAAAAACTATCCCATTTTCCTTTTATCTTTTCCAGGCATGGTGTTATTTATAAAGATGACGAAAAAAAAGAATTAGATAATCTTTACGTCTGGTCGTGTCGACCGCACACACTGCCGCGGTGTGTGTAGCTGCGCGCTACTGTCAGTCCGCCTATGTGAGTCATTGGATTGGTGTTATGATGATAGAATAACACAGCCATGAGTGTGCTTGTGAAACCACCTGTGCCACCTAAAACCACTTGGAAACCCGGTAAATATACCACGAAATCGCGCCGTGGCGTCGGGCGTGGACAATGCGTAACTCGTGGTCCGGTTAGGCAATTTGTTAACGTTATCTGATTAATTATTGTATAATTCCTGTGGCACTTCTAGTTTTTATTGGGTGATTGTGATAAGAAAGGACTTTTATACATATGTACTTATGGATCTCCGTGTATATGTACTGACCATGTATCGTACAGATCGCTCATTTATGTCATAGCAATTATATTCATGTCATTTTTCTTACGGATCAATAAAATTCTACTATATACGAATTTAAGGTTATACCACACACCTCAGTCCGACGTCTCGATCTGTTCAAGAAGAATTCTATCGTGCCGATTGTACGTTCGAGAGGGAAAGAGAACCTAAAGAATGACAATTCCGCCGTGAAAAAATTATTAACGGAGCATTAGTTCGCGTTTGTTTGGCTAATGAATGTAATTATCGCACGGTCTAGGTTAGAGCGGTAATCTTATCAAATGTATGCTTTGCGATAATTTTGCTCTTGTAATTAAATGCGAAAAAAATTTCTACCTTTCAAACAAGATATCCGATATAAGTGTTGTTAACGCATGTGTTATCTTTAAGGTAAGGTAAGAGTCGTCAGGACGTTATGCAAATATACTGCGCAACGTGGAAGTACACTTGCCGGCGAAATAAGTTTCTGTATATGTAATTTTTTCATATAGGTAATTTTGACGCACGAACATTATAATGCGACGCTTTTTACAGGCGGATGAGTTGTCGTTCGACGAGGGTGATTTACTCTACGTTTATGATAGTGACACCGATCCAAATTGGTGGAGGGCCAAATGCGGGGATCAAAAGGGACTCATACCGGTCACTTCTGGTAACGAAGAATACAAATTTGTTTATCTCCAGTGTAATGCTCGTAATCTATTATTTATGTTCGCAATCTGTTGTTCCCAGTCGAGGAACAGACGCAGGAGATTGATCTGCCGCTGCACGACGCTGCGAGACGGGGCAACATTTCCTTCCTGAGGGAATACCTGAAGCAGGGTATATCGGGGACGGGTTTGGATGCAGCTGGAAACACGCCGCTGTACTGGGCGGCACGCACCGGCCACCTGGAATGCGCGAGGGAGCTTCTCACTTTGCCGAATCCCATGGTGAACGCTCAAGTAAGAGAATGAACATATGTTGGAGAACTGGACTCGCGTTCTTATTTAATACTAGGCGTAGCTATATGATTTTACACTCGCTGCGACACTGTAACATTTTAATTTCTTACAAAGTAAGCAATACTTGGAATGAAATAGTCACATTAAGTGTTAAGTATAAGTACACACACGCTTCTACCATATCGCCGTTAATGTCTTCGCTTGTACTCGTTTGACACAAAGTTATTTCCGAGGGGGGAAACCGCTGATCAAAATCTTGTACGCCAATGCCCACTAATGCCCAGTGGGCATTACTTTATCGTATTATCTTATTTTATCTTTATAATGCCCCGGCAAAGCCTAATGCCCAAACTATTGCCCAAAAAATGCCTAGTAATGCCCAGTAATGCCGCAAATCTGTACACCACAATGACCTCAGCGGTTTTCCCCTCGCTTATTTCTTAATCTTGTTGCAATGATTCAGCTTGTAATCGACCATGACTGGCGATGTGTTTTAAACACAGAAAATTTGTTGTTGCGAGAAATATTACCTCAGCCAGGATTTGAACCTGGACCTCCCTACACTCTCTGGGCGGACGTCTCGCCAATTCGACCACCGAGGCATATGATAATATTTGTCGCAAAAATTTATTGCGACAAATAGTGTAGGAAGGTCCAGGTTCAAGCCCTGGCCGAGGTAATATTTTTCGCAATAAATTTTCTGCGTTTAAAACACATCGCCAGTTATGGCCGATCAGAAGCTTAATCATTGTTAGTCATGTACTGGCGTCAAATAATTCTTGAAGTTAATCTTCTTGCTTTCGATCGTAGAACAAGATGGGCGACACGCCACTGCACGTGGCAGCGAATCATGGACATTTGGAGATGATAAATTTGTTGTTGGAGCATGATGCCGATACGACATTGAAGAACAATGACGGTGCCACCGCGGAAGAATTAGCCTCCGACGCGTCTATCAGATCTACGTTGCAACTGCACGGTCAATATGAAATCCCACATGGATACGACGACGATGATTATAAAGATAGCGATAGCGACTAAGAATTTCAAAGCCTGCAATGGGAATAAAGTAAGAATTCCATATTATGTGTGTAAACAAAACAAGCAATTCACATACTATATGTACTAGAATTTTATGTATTAATAAGTAAAAGTAACTCTACAGTCGTAAAGGCTTCCGGAAGGTTGCCGCGTCCATTTTCAGTGTGGTCAGGCTTCGCAAACATTGCAGCTTGCATCATCAGGGCTGGGAGACTCTGAAACGTCGGCACCACACTGTAAACGGACGCGGCAACCATCCGGAAGCTATTACGACTGAAGAAGTCAGCAGCCGCGAAAGCTTGAAAGCCAATAACTTTACATATTAATCCTTTGCGGTCAAAATTATTTCTCGCAAATCAGAAGTAAAACTCAAGTATTTCCATGTCCTCTGATCAGCGGCTGATATGAATAAAAGAATAATTTTCTTACTTTAGGAAATTGATGGAAATGTAATTCTTGCAAATTATAATTATAGATTCGAATGCTCGAAGAATTACGGGAAAGATCATTGCAACGCATAGTGTCGTTAAATTTGAATGTAGGATCACAAAGGGTTAAATAATAATGTTAATATTTGAAAGATCTCAAACGATGCTCGCCTCTTTATATGTAATCGTAAGACTCTTGTTTCCTACAGGATGTGAGTAGCAGCATAGACGAAATTTAATTTACTTTCGATAATACAAGAAAGAAATTCACATTACATCGCACTGTCATAAGTCGATAGTTTACGTCCGACGATAAAAAAACAAGAGTCTTCAGAACTGTTATTTCGTATTTGTGATATGTTATAGATAGAGCGTATTGTTACAATATCAGATAATAGATTAAGATCCTTAATTTAAAAAAAGGAACAATAATTGTATTATCACAAAACATGTATAACATGTACAACGTACCAACTCTTTATCATACTGCCATTAGCATTATTCAACTCATTCGTAAAGAGTATTACAATGAAATTAAATGAAAACTTTATATTAGTGATTAGTATATTGTATGAAAAGTAAATTTGAGTATTCGACTTCAAATACATAACGTAATCTGTGCAAAAAAGAGCAACACAGAGTGTTCCTTTAAATTAGTTAAAGCTCTCATTTTTCAATTTTTCGCGCATACTTTAGCCTCGGAGAAAAATAATAGCGTTATTTAGCCTTCTATCGTGTATTCTTGACTGAACATTATTGAGTTCTAATAAAACAATCTTTAAAGAAGACATAATATTATGTTCTTTTTCAGCAGAACGCTGCAATAACACACGTAATTCCTTGCGAGATTTTTTTACCTGCTTCAAACTTTCTTACTAAACCATCTGTTGAAATCTAATCTCAATAACAATCGAGCTAAGTGCTCTCCACTAGGTTGCGCACGTACTCTATTCAACGTCTTTGTCAACCAGTTCATTACGCTGTCAAGTGTCTCGCATAATGTCTCGAGCTCTTCTTTCTCCGTTAAGAGCAAATTACCGACCTCCCACATGGACGCTTGCAAGATGAAATCGTCGCACAGCCGCAACAAAAGATGAATCAACTTATTCACCTGTTAAAAATACACATAAGTACCAAGAAGCAACGACAGCGTCTCGGATTTGTGGAGCCATCTTTAAAATCTGTGTTTAAATTACGAAAGTGAAATTGATGCACGAAAGATGGCTCGCCAAATCGACGATACTCTGCATAGTTTCGAATTTTATCATATAACCTGATGAAACTTACGGGATTCTTTTTTCCCGTTCCATTGCCCAGTAAGAAGGTTTGCGACATGACGTTAGCCAGGAACACAGAATGGGCCTTTTGTATATCTTCAAAATTCCGCGTGTTTTTCATACTCGCTTCCATTACGGTATACTGACTTTCCATCACGTCTACTTGCAGGTAATACTGCAAGTTGTCGACGATAAAGACCAGATTATTTCTCAACTGGATCACGCCGATGTCGCTGTAAATTACACATATTATGCTATAGTAATTCTGAACAACGAAAATGTTAATTATCTTATAGCATTCGTGAATATGTGCATTATTTACATGTTCTTGTGTTGCATGTGCTCGCTCCAGAGATTCCACAAGTCTATCTGGGTCTTTTTAACTCTCAACAGGAAGCGAAACAAAGTGTTGTAATCGTTCAACGCGGTTGGATTGAACAGCAGATGCAATGGCCAAACAACTTTGTACTTCAACGTGATCATGCCCCATCCGCGTTTCTCTAAGATAAAGATATTATTCAATATTCT